CAGGTGGCCCCCAAAGCCCTGGACAGAGCTCACATGAGCAAATGTGTGGCTTGGAGGAGAGAAGCCTGCTTATTGGAAAGGGTGGGCCCATTTTTTTTTTAATTAATTAATTTTTTTTGGTCACACCATGCAGCATGTGGGATTTTATTAGTTCGCTGACCAGGGATCCAACTCGTGCCCCTTGCGTTGGAAGCACAGAGTCTTAACCACTGGACTGCTAGGGAAGTCCTGGGGTGAGCCCATTTTAGAGTGCTTCAGCTGTTGGAGGCTGGACCCTAAGGTCCAGGTGGGCTAAATACCTTGGCCATACTCTTCTCTGGGAAATGGTCATTCATCCTGGAGTGACCTTGGGGAAAGGACAGGGAGACAGACATATTTGGGAGTAGGCTGTGTTCAGAAGGGAGCCAAGGATGGCAGACTTCTTTTGTTTCTTCTGAGGGGCAACTCTGGAAGGGTATGGGGCACCTGGGAGGCTGGGCCCCTTGTGGCATTGTTTTTGTTGTAGTGGTCAGTGTTAAGGAGGGAAGTGACCTGCTGATTGCCTGATGAGCTGAAGTGGACTCCAACACTGAGGAGGAAGCGGTGTCCTGCACCAACCTGGGCCACTGACCCTTCTTGTGATGCACTCCCAGGGCCTCCTAGTCTTCGTCCATCCGTCTTTGGTGACCCTGCCATGGGACAGGGCCTTTCTTCCCTCTTCTTTCCCTGCTGCCTTCTTTCCAATTTGGCTTCTTGGGCAGGTTCAGTCAGGGTAGTGTTGGCTCTGGCCTGCGGGGGGAGGTGGTAGCCTGCAGGCCAGAGAAGTGGGGGTGGGGGTGGGGGTGGGTGTGGAGCGGGGTGGGGTAAGGGTGGGAGGCAGTGGGGCATTTGGGCATGTTGAATGGGGGTGGACCTGATTTCTTGAAGCTACTAGGCATGGCCTGCCTGGGGATACAGCGGCCCCAGCCTCCCACCCCTATTTTGCCTTGGAAACAGGAGCAAGTAGGCAAGTGTCTGTTGCCCTGTGCCTCCCTCCTCCCTCCTCCCCCTCCCTGCCTGGCTGAGCCAACACTTTTTTCTTCTCTCCTTTATCTGCTCAAAAAAGTTCAGGGTGTTCTGTTTCTCCTGTGCATACAGATCAAGGAGGGGGATGTTATTTATTTATTTATTTTATTTACTGAAGGCAAGAGAAGGACAGGGAGGCACCAAGGAACATTAAGTGATTCTTCTTAGGCATTTTCTCGTAAGATTAAAAAAATTCCAAAGGAAGAGATGACACAAACCAACAGAAAACAAATGTGCTCTCCCCCGCATCCTGAGATAAGAGGGCCCAAAAGTCCAGTTCAGCATTTATCTGAGGGCCCAGCACACAGTAGGTGTTGCTACATACAGTTTTCTCTCTTCCATTCAGTTTGGACCCCAGGGTACATTGGCCCCATGGGCCATTATGGGGGACCATGAGGCAGATGCCTCATTTTTGCCATCTGTGGACTGTGCATGTGGTTTCTCTGGCTTCTTGCGGGAGCCCCGGGGGTTGACAGGCTCATCTGGGACAAGGCCTGTGGAGAGACAGAACTATGGGGTTAGCAGTGAGGGCCAGGGGAATAGGTGACCTATATGGTCCCTGTTTACTTGCTCCCACCATGGCACCATATGTGTGATGTCTCTTTGAGTTGAAGGTCTCTAATATGTTGGGAACTTGGGGTCCTTTCTGTGTTCATCTTAAAGGCAGACTGCCTGCCTGCATCTCCCACAATCCATTCCTGAAGCCTGTACCAAAGGAAGTGTATTCATAATTTAGCTACAGAACTTTACAAATGATTTTCCCGCACAGGGCTCTTAAAAATGCTGACAGTCTCTTGACATCCATATAGGGCCTTATTTAACTGTCACAATAATGCAGTTAGGACAAGCTGGGCCACTTCAGAGAGAAGGAAAGGGAGGCTGGGAAGCCAGGAAGTTCAGGTAGCCCCCTGGGAATGCACCACTGCCCCAAGCATTCCTTACCTCTACCCAAGGCTGCAGTTTACCCTAATCCCTGGGTTTTCATAGGTGGTGCTCCAGGGAGCCTGGGAGGTTCTGCCATGACCTCAGGAAGTAGCGGGAACTCCAGTTTCAACCCAGTTACACCCTGGTCTCCACAGGAGCTTTTCGAGAAGGGGTTCCACCAGTAAGGTCTGAAAACCACTGTAGCGATCCCACCCCTTTACTGTGTAAAAGTGGTTGTTTTGGGGAGGGCCGCCTCAGGCTGGGGGTGGGGCTGGAGGCCCAGAGAGCAGCGCACAGGCGGAGCCCCCCCAGTCCCGGGGAACTGGGGCGTGGGGGCTTCGTGGGCAGTCTCGACTCTGGCTTAGCATAGCAGGGTGCCCAGCTGTGGAGGCCGATAGCAGCAGCTCTTAGCTCCCTGTGTGTTTACAAACCTGAGGCAGAGCACGCTCCTTGCCAGCGCCGCGGGGCGGACTCTTCCTCCCTGCTGGCCTCTGGTGCAGGCAGCCACACCCTCACCTCTAATTTTAGTCCTCTAGTCCTCCGCCAGAACCTGGGGGAGGGACGGGAAGGTGGCAGAGGGGGAGAGGAGGAAGGGTAATGGGGAGGGGAGGAAAGGGCTTGCGCCAGCTCTGACCTCCATGCTCCCAGGAGGCCGAACAGAACATCACTGGGACGGGGGTGGGGGGTGAGGTGGACCGCAGAAGGACAGAAAGACATAGGAGGGAGGAATGGGAAAGCCGGGACACAGGCTCTCCTAGAAGAAGGCAGGGATCCAGGCTGTGTGGGGAGCCCCTGCCTCTGAGGGTCTCTGGGCCTCGGGCGCCACCTTCCGGCCCTCTAGGGAACCAGTCCCGCACCGAGTCGGCCGCCCGGGGGTGGGGGGTGGGGTGTAGTTTGGAGGGAGTTTGAGAGCAGGAGTGGGGTGACATTCCTGTCCGTGCCCAGGTGTGGCATCGGCAGGTGAAGTGGGCGGGGGAGGTGCAAGGAGCAGCTTCTCAGACTGAGAATATTTAGAAAAAGACCCCTTCTAAAATCTGTGATAAAAAGATGTTAGAGGTGGAGTGGAAATCTAAGTGGTCAGACCTTGAGGCGTGTGAAGGAGGAAGTTAGCGCACAGCTTTTATTTTATTTTTTATAGTGAACAAGGAATGAGTATCTGAATAGTTATTGAGATGTATATGCATACATATATGTAGTGAGTGGCACAAATCCTAAGTATACAACTATGTACATTGTGTAACCACCATTCATATAAAGATACATATTCCTTCCACCCCAGAAAGTTCCCTTCTGACCCTTTTCACTCATTCCCCTCCTCCCAATCTCTCTTCTGTCATCACAGATTCATTTTACCTCTTCATGGATTTCACATAAATGGAGTCATACCGTATGGAGCTCTTTTGTCTCTGGCTTCTTTTGTTCAATGTAATACTGTTGAGAGTAGTTTAGTTCTGTTTATTGCTGAAGAATATTCCCTTGTATGAATATGCTACAAATAGCACAATATATTTATCTATTCTTCTGTTGATGGACCTTTGGGATATTTGTTTTTGGTTATCATGAATAAAGCTGCTATGAACATTCTATGTCTATTTGGTGGAGTATACCCTGTTTCTCTTGGGTGTATTCTTAGGAGTGGGATTGCTGTGTCATAGGAAGGGTTTTACTTAGCTTTATTAGGTACGGGTGACAGCTTTTTATATGCCCCCTGTCCACTGCCCAGCAGCTACTTTCCACTCACATTCACTCCCCTGTTGTTAGGTCCTGGATACTATGGATAGTATGGATAACTAACTGGACAGTATGCAACTTCTGCCACTGAAACCTTAGGCAGCTTGGGTCAGGAAAGGAATGGGGACAGGATCAGATCTGAGTGGCCCCTTGGGATGGCCCACAGATACCTTCAAACCCTTGTAGTCACTCCAGGAATAGAAGGGTAGCCTCTCCCAGCCCTGGGGCCAGATTCACGGACCCCCTTGGCCTCCCGTCAGCTCCCTAGGCTGGCGTCTCTGAGCAAGCTGGCTTAGCGTAACTGTCAATTTGATGTCTGGCCTCTGGTGCCACGGGTCCTCACGGTCCACTGTTTCCTGGGCTCTTCGCTGCTTTGTGGTGACTGAGGGGCTGGGTGGCCTGGGAAAAAAACTGGAGACCTACCCGGAATAGCAGAGGTTCATTCGATACCAGCCTCGTGGCACTTTCTGGGGGGAGGGTGGGACTGTGTCCTGCCTACCAAATTGCCACCTCATTGAGGCTGTGAAAAACTAGCTGAAAGCAAGAGGAGAAGAGAAGACAGGGCAAGGGAGAGTGAGTGCCAGGGAAGGGCCAGGGGAGGGAGGGAGAGCAGAGGGTCTAGTGCAGTGTGTGCAAGTATCCTGGGGTTGGCTCCAGCACCCTGAGGTCTGTACAAGCATCCTGGGGTTCATGAGAGCATCCTGAGGTCAGTGTGAGCTGGACCACAGCAGTGGTACTGGGCTGTGCTGGGCTGTGCTAGGCTGTGTTGGTCCAGGGTTAGCAGCACCAGGATCAGTTTCTCCTGATTTTGACCTTCTTGGTCATACAAGACCAAGACTCTTGTCTTACTGACTCTTGTCTCATCCTTGGGGAAGAGGCGGTGCCTACTAGGTTTGAGATGGCATTGATGGATTTCAGGGGTTTGGGGTGGGCTGTCAGCTCTCCTTTTTGCTGATGGGGGCCCACGGTGCATCCTCCCTGCCTGTTTCCTTCCCTGTGGCTCCCTCCCTCCTTCCCCACATCCTTTGGAGTTGGCTCTTCTTGCCCAGGTCCTCGGAAGGGATTGAGAGGGCTCAGGGTCCCCCCTTGAAGGCAGAGCCTGTGAGCATCTCTTGGGGCAGGTGGGAAGTGAAGGCAGAGCAGGTGAGCTGTGACCCCCTGCCCCCTGCAGGTTCCTAGGAGGCGAGTGTGGACGGTATGCAAAGTTGTGAATCCAGTGGTGACAGTGCGGATGACCCTCTCAGTCGTGGCCTGCGGAGAAGGGGACAGCCTCGTGTGGTGGTGATCGGCGCCGGCTTGGCTGGCCTGGCTGCTGCCAAAGCACTTCTGGAGCAGGGCTTTACGGATGTCACTGTGCTTGAGGCTTCCAGCCGCATTGGAGGCCGCGTACAGAGCGTGAAGCTTGGTAAGTGCCTCAGTTCACCTCAGTCCAGTCATCTCCTAAGGTCACTTCTTATCTCCCAGTGCCCTGACCTAGCCTGAAATCTCGTTATTTTATCTTCTTCCCGGGGGTTAGTGTTCTATCATGCATGCTGCCTGGGCATTTTCCCTTCCTTTGCCCCTCTCAGCACCCTTCTGAGGTGGGCAGGATGGGGCTCTGGCCTTTATCTTTGGAACACGATCTAGAGTTCACAGTGTTTAGGAGGGAAAGGACACCCAGGACCAAACTTCGCAGTGGGTAGACTGGTTTCTATTTCACAAGAAGGGGAATTCTGCAAGTTTCTATTAGTTGTTAACTTTTGAATATGAATTAGTGTTATCATGACTGAGAGCTAGCCCTGGGACAATAGGAGCTAAGGGCAGTGGAGGTGGAAGAAGACTTTGGGCCTCCTTGTGAGTGATGGGCAGGTCTTAGGATTGTCGAGGAGGAGGGTCTCTCCAGGTTGCAGAGAAATAAGGCCTCTGCAGAAAGCAGCCAGATAAGAGACATACCCTAGGGCTGGGCAGGTTTCGCCAGGGGTCCTAAAGGGTGGGGAATTGCCTGAAATGCATTTAGAAGTCAGGGGGGTTTCCCAACCAGGGGGTCTGACCATGAAAATGGCCCAGTGGGACCACTCATGGTGGCCTGGAGTGTGTGGGCTACACTGACCCTCCAGAGGATTTTGTGTCTGTTGCTACATGGGCAGCAAGGCCAAGCAGATTCTGTGTGCTTACTTTTGATGAATGGGGCAATTGGCTCAGAGAAGTAGGTGGACAGACTTAGAATAAGCAGAGGTTGAGGAGCAACCTTCTCTCTTCTTTCAAAAACTTTGATCACATTAAAAGTCTTCCCTTAGAGTATTTCCTGGAAGGTGTATGTGAAATTATGTCTGTCTTCCCCTGGCACACACAGGAGTATGTGTTGGCAGTGAGGATGAAAGTGCAGTCCAAGGCATGTGCAAACCTGGGGACAGCCAGCTGGGAAGCCCTGAGACTCTTTGCTCAACACCTGATTGGCTGACTAGGAGCCTTAGGGATGGGATGGCTCCATTTGTGGTTCTTGAATCTTGATAAGACATTCAGGGTCTGACATAAAAGCAGAAGACGGGAGGACAAACAGCCCAGTTTCAGTGGTAGTTGGCAGCCGAGACGTGCTGTGCAGGGAAGTGATTGTAGAATGGAGGGAGGTGGAAAGGATGGGGCTGCAGGAGGCTGAGGGGATGCACATGGCAGGAAGCCTTCCTCAGAGGGGAGGGAGCTTGGGTGGGCCTCAGGTGATGAGGGGAGTTGGATAGGTAGTGAAAAGAAGGAAGGGGGTAATTGCACACATGGAATTGCACACATGATATATGTGAAGAATCAGATCAAGGCAGACCCTGCCAGGATACGGGAGAGCAAATCCAGGCAAGGGCGTATGTGTGTGTGTTGTGTGTGCAGACACCCAGGGCTGAAAGCCCAGGCTGCAGTTGGACCTGCAGCAGTGTGAGATGCTAGCTGTGAATCCCGGTGGTAAGGGCAGCGGCGATGACCAGAAGCCCCAAGGACACCGTGAGGTAGATGTGGAGATGGTGCCTGGTACCCTTTGGATGCAGGATGTAACAAGGATGACAAAGGTGAGAGGCCTCTGGGAGAGGGCAGGAAACATCCTCAGACTGAGGTGTACTCTGGGCCACCCCACCTCCTTGTAAAGCTTGGGGGATGGAGTGGAGCACTGACCTTGCTGCTGACCTTGAGCTGCTCACCTAGTTCCTGCTTATGCCTGGATACCCCATGCCTGGACATCACTGCCCGGTGACTATGACTTGGAGCTCCCTGGTGTACCCTGGGGAAGGTACAGGCCCCTTTTGCTCCTATTGGGAGCTCAAACCAGGCAAAAGACCTTGGGGAGCCTGAGGCTCTAAAGGAGAATTAGTAATAAATGTCCCCAGTGCCCCCCACCCCCACCCCCCAGGAACCCCGTGGAGGAAGAAGGGCACTGGGTTTCTAGCTTTTCGTGCCTTCTGGTCTGCCCACTTTCCCTGGACAAAGGGACCCACACATTCCTGCCTCTGATTCCAGAGTCACCAGGAAATTCTGTCTTGCTGGCTGTGGCTTGAGGTTGATTGTGTTTTCTCTTGCTCTGTGTTTGGCACATAGATGCACACAGAGCTTTTCTTTCTTTCTTTTTTTTTTTTTTTTTTTTAAGTAACTGATGGTTTAATTAGAAGCAGCCCAGGAAAGAGAAGACACAAAAAAGAGAAATGCCCAGTTCCTGGGGTGAGGGGTGAGTGTTGTCTGTTATAGTGTATTAGATAACTATTGCTGCATTAACAGACCACCCTAAAATGTAGTGGCTTAAAACAACATCATTTTATTTGCTGATATTCTGTGGCTCCAGAAATTTGGGTTTCTCTTCATGGTGGTCACAGTCTAGAGAGTGGAAGCCACACGGTGTCTTGAGGCCTAGGCTCTGAAACCACAAACATTGCTTTCATTGCATTCTGTTAATCAAAGCAAGTCACAGGCCAAGCCCAGAGTCAAGGGGTGCGGAAAGACTCCATCTCTTGATGGCAGGACTGGCAAAGTCACGTTGCAAAGGGCCATGTGTGTAAGGATAGGAGGGATTATTGTGACCATCTTGGCAAAAAAGTTACCACACATGATGTCTTGAATCAGGCCTCCAAAAACAAAACGAAACACCAAAAAATGTTCCTTTCTGTTTTCCTTTCATTGTTTCAGCTTCCCTGGGAGCTAGGCAAGGGAGGAGACAAATGTATCACAGCATGCAGCATGAGAAAAGGAAACTGAGGCCCAGAAGAGGAAATAGGCACAGGCACAGTGACAACTTGCCTCAGAGCATCTGATACCTTGGCTATGGATGGGGTGGTAAAATGAGCCACCAGCCCTGTCCCAACTTGGGCCCAGGAGTTTCCCTCTGCCCCAGTCAGACTCTTAGGGTTCTGCCACCTGTGCCATAGGATGAGAAAGCTTAGTTTTCTCCAGAAGTCTGTTTTAGACTGCCTTGGGGAGGAGTCTTCCAAACTGGAATGTTTGCCTTCTTTCTTCTGCCCCAGACTGAGTTGGGAGGTGACCATTTTCCATCTGGCAGAGTGGCTTAGACTCTTGGGCCACTGGATTTTGAGGAATCGGAATAAGGCCAAATGGGGACCTTGGGTCTGGAAGGCTGGGCCTCCTCACTGGGTATTTCAAGGATCCTTGCTCCCCTCACTGGGCCCATTGTACCCACTGGTACCCATAGAAGTTCTCCTGAGGGGGAGGAGAGGTCTGTTGTCTGGTGTTATCTTAGGAGAGTCTTCTAATTATTCCAGTGAGATGACTTGGTGTCAGATCATAGAGTTATTCAGGGTAGAAGTTAGCTATAAAGTAGAATCCATTTTGTGCCACATGTGGTTTCTACTGAGATATTTTCACTGAAGATTTTGGTTCGTTGCTAGAGCGGTACCTAATCCCCTTCCTTCCCCCTGTTGTTGGGGATGGAAGGATCCTCTTGGAGGAAGGAGGGTGAGGCAGTGTTCTGGCTCTCTTCCTTGCCCCTATAAGAGCCTATTGTCGCCATCAGGACACGCCACCTTTGAGCTGGGAGCCACGTGGATCCATGGCTCCCACGGGAATCCCATCTATCATCTAGCAGAAGCCAATGGCCTTCTGGAAGAGACAACTGATGGGGAGCGCAGTGTGGGCCGCATCAGCCTCTACTCCAAGAATGGCGTGGCCTGCTACCTCACCAACCATGGCTGCAGGATCCCCAAGGATGTGGTTGAGGAATTCAGTGATTTATACAACGAGGTGAGGTATTAGGGGGATAGTTGGGCACAAGGGTTTGTGGGGCAGGGAGCGCCCTGGCAGTGTGTGTGTGTGTGTGTGTGCGTGTGTGTGTGTGTGTGTGTATGTGTGTGTGTGTGTGTGTGTGTGTGTATGTATCAGACTTGAGGGGGCTGGGCGACCTGCTGGGGTCTTCTACGATCCTGGTCATGTCTGCATATTCTCTGGGCCCTGCATTTGGAAAATCAGGACAATTTGAGGGTAGAATGAAGACAATGAGTGGAGCAGTACTAGGTAAGAGATTATTGATACTCATGGTTAAATATTTCCCCATAAAGTCCTTAAACATCTTTTATTAGATTTATTACTAGGTAAGTGGGTATGATTATTGTTGTTATTGCTCTTGGATACTCTTTTAAATGGTAATTTTAAAATACTTTATTTTCTAATTGTTCCCCGTGTATAGAATTATAACTGCATCTTTTTTTTTTAATTGAAGTGTAGTTGATTTACAGTATTATATTAGTTTCAGGTGTGCAGCATAGTGATTCAACATTTTTATACATTATACTCCATTTAAAGTTATTACAAAATAATGGTTATATTTCCCTGCTGTGTGCAATATATCCGTGTTGCTTATTTATTTTATACATAGTAGTTTGTATCTCTTAATCCCATACCCCTGTCTTGCCCCTCCCCCCTTCCTTCTCTCCACTGGTAACCACTAGTTTGTTCTCTATATCTGAGTCTATTTCTGTTTTGTTCTGTTCATTCGTTTCATTTTTTAGATTCCACATATTAGTGATAACATAGAGTATTTGTCTTTCTCTGTCTCACTTATTTCACTAAACCTCTAGGTCCATTCATGTTGTTGCAAATGGCAGATTTTCTTTCTTTTTTATGGCTGAGTAAAATTCCATTGTGTGTGTGTATATATATATTATATATATATAATATATATAACTACATAACTATATATTTTATATCTGTCTACCTATCTGTCTAACATCTTCTTTATCCATTCATCTGTTGATGGGCACTTAGGCTGCTCCCATAGCTTCGCTATTGTAAACAATGTTGAAGTGAACTTTGGGGTATAAGTATCTCTTCAAATTAGTGTTTTCTTTTTCTGTGGATATATACCCAGGAATGGAATTGCTGGGTTATATGGTAGTTATATTTTTAATTTTTTGAGGAACATCCATACTGTTTTCCACAGTGGCTGCACCAATTTACATTCCCAGCAACAGTGCACAAGAGTTCCCTTTTCTCCACATCCTCACCAACATTTATTATCTGTGTTCTTTTTTTTTTTTTTTTTTTTTTCGGTATGCGGGCCCCTCACTGTTGTGGCCTCTCCCGTTGCGGAGCACAGGCTCGGGACACGCAGGCTCAGCGGCCATGGCTCACGGGCCCAGCTGCTCTGCGGCATGTGGGATCTTCCCGGACCGGGGCACGAACCCGCGTCCCCTGCATCGGCAGGCGGGCTCTCAACCACTGCACCACCAGGGAAGCCCTATTTGTGTTCTTTTTGATGATAGCTGTTCTGACAGGTGTGAGCTGATATCTCATTGTCATTTTAATTTGCATTTCTCTGATGATTAGCTCGTTGAGCATCTTTTCATGTGCCTGTTGGCCATCTGTATAACTTCTTTGGAAAAATGTCTATTCAGATCTGCCCATTTTTTAATCGAGTTGATAGCTTTTTTGATATTGAGTTGTATGAGCTGTTTATATATTTTGGATATTTACCCCTTATTGGTCATATCATTGGCAAATACTTTCTTCCATTCAGTAGGCTGGCTTTTTGTTTTGTTAGTGGTTTCCTTTGCTGTGCAAAAACTTTTAGGTTAAATTAAATTAAATTTGTTTTTGCTTTTGTTTCTTTTGCCTTAGGAGACTGATTAAAAAAATATTGCTACAATTTATGTCAAAGAGTGTTCTGCTTATGCTCTTCTAGGAGTTTCATTGTTTCCATTGTTACGTTTAGGTCTTTAATCCATTTTGAGTTTAGTTTTGTATATGGTGTGAGAAAGTGTTCTAATTTCACTCTTTCACATGTGGCTGTTCAGTTTTCCCAACACCACTTATTGAAGGGACTGTCTTTTTTCCATGTATATTCTGCCTCCTTTATCAAAAATTAATTGTGTGTGGGTTTATTTCTGGGCTCTCTGTTCTGTTCCATTGATCTATGTGTCTCTTTTTATGCCAGTACCATGCTGTTTTGATTGCTGTAGCTTTGTAGTATAGTCTGAAGTCAGGGAGTGTGATACCTCCAGCTTTGTTCTTTTTTCTCAGATTTCATTGACAATTTGGGATCTTTTGTGGTTCCATATAAATTTCTTTCTTTTTTTTGCGGTACATGGGCCTCTCACTGTTGTGGCCTCTCCCGTTGTGGAGCACAGGCTCCGGACACGCAGGCTTAGCGGCCATGGCTCACGGGCCTAGCCGCTCCGCGGCATGTGGGATCTTCCTGGACCGGGGCACGAACCTGTGTCCCCTGCATTGGCAGGTGGACTCTCAACCACTGCGCCACCAGGGAAGCCCTCCATATAAATTTTAAGATTATTTTTTCTAGTTATGTGCAAAATGTCATGGGTATTTATAACTGATTTTTATTTATTGATTTTAGCTACCTTGCTAAATTATTATTTTAACTCTAATACTATATCTATTAATATACCACATTAATTTATGTTCTAATGGTATTTTGGAATTTTATGTGTATAATCCTATATACCAAAAGAATGAGAATTTTGCTTTTTCCTTTCTAATCCTCAGACCAGCGTTGTCCAATAGAATTTTCCACGATAATGAAGATGTTTTAGACATCTATCCAGTTTGGCAGTCACTAGCCACATGTGGCCTTTGAGCTCTTGAAATGTAGCTAGTAATACTGAGAAACTAAATGCTTAATTTAATTTTAAATTGCTATAGAGATCTAGTGGCTATTGTATTGGACAGCATAACTTAAAACTATTAATTTTTTTTTCTTGCCTTACTGCACTGTCAATCTCCAGTACAGTGTTGGATAGAAATATCAATGACACACATCCTTGTCTTATTCAGGTTTTTAAAAAGAATGTTAATATTTTTAGTAACTTTCAGTGGTGCTGTGAACTGCAAAGAACAAGCAAGGTAACATGTAGATCTTGCCTTCTGATAGCTTGTCATTTATAGTGTAATGACCCTTCACTTCAGGTCAGTAAATTGGTCAACAGCCACCTATTGTACATTTTCTATGTCTTTTAGGCATGGGAAAGGAGAAATGACTCTTGCTTTGGGGTTATCCCTGCTCAATGGAGGGCAGGCACACTCACTGTCTTATGTGTGTGCACCCACATAGTATGTTATGTACAATCCTATAGTGTTGTGTGTTCTCACTTCTAATATTATTATTAAGCAGGTAAGAATTAGTATTCTTCAAAGTAGACCTTCTTGGTCTACTGGGAATCAGTCACGTCCTGATTCCCATGTTATTAGGAGTGCTTCAAGCCTGGATGCCTCTTGAGAATGACTTTCAGGGTCCATGACTTACTTGTTCTTTTAAATGTCCCTCAAAGTAGATCATCATCAACTTCTGCTTGTGGGTTTGATTTTTGAAAGCGAAGAGTGTGAGTCATGGAAAGTAGGATGGATAAAGGTGGGTTATCACTCTGGGTGGTGCTGCTTTGGGTCAGAAGGAAGAGGTGTTAATGAAGTCAAAAGAGAAGTCAAAAGAGATTTCCTTATGTAGCTGTTAGACAGTGCTGGAGGCCATTCTGAAGAGGTGTGCTCTAAGAATGTGAAGCCTTGCCTGAGGGTGGTTTCATAATAAATATGTAGCCTCCCTCCCAAGGTGATGACTTTGAAGGGTTACTCATTTGAATGTATTGTATTTGTTAACAAATAAATGAGTTTGTTCAGTAGTTATCATATAGAGCTTAATCTCTGTAGCAAGATTACCTTGATTCAAATATTGGGTTGGCTAAACAGTTCATTCGTTTTTTTCCGTAAGATGGCTCTAGTAGTACTTTGTTGTCTTTAAATTCATTCAGAACAATTTTGTTAGATCGTATTGTGACAGCTGTCATATCAGCGTGCATTTAAAAAAAAACTTATCAAAATTGGTGAATTTTTATGTAGCCATTTTAATATCGAAGATGGAAGAAAAATAGCAACATTTTCAGCATATTATGCTTTATTATTTCAAGAAAGGTGAAAATGCAACTGAAACGCAAAAAAAGATGTGCAGTGTATGGAAAAGGTGCTGTGACTGATCAAACGTGTCAAAAGTGGTTCGTGAAGTTTCATGCTGGAGATTTCTTGCTGGACAATGCTCCATGGTCGGGTAGACCAGTTGAAGCTGATAGCGATCAAATCGAGATATTAATTGAGTATGATCAACGTTATACCACGCGGGAGATAGCCGACATACTCAAAATATCCAAATCAAGCGGTGAAAATCGTTTGCACCAGCTTGGTTATGTGAATCGCTTTGATGTTTGGGTTCCACAAAAGTTAAGCGAAAAAACCTTCTTGGCTGTATTTCTGCATGTGATTCTGTACTTAAACATAATGAAAATGGTCCATTTTTAAAACAAATTGTGATGGGCAATGAAAAGTGGATACTGTACAATAATGTGGAACAGAAGAGATGGTGGGGCAAGCAAAATGAACCACCACCAACTACACCAAAGGCCGATCTTCATCCAAAGAAGATGATGTTGTGTATATGGTGGGATTGGAAGGGAGCCCTCTATTATGAGCTCCTTCTGGAAAACCAAATGATTAATTCCAACAAGTACTGCTCCCAATTAGAAAGCAACAGTCGAGGAAAAGCGTCTGGAATTAGTCAACAGAAAATGCATAATCTTCCATCAGGATAACGCAGGACCTCATGTTTCTTCAATGACCAGGCAAAAACTGTTACAGCTTGGCTGGGAAGTTCTGATTCATCCGCCGTATTCACCAGACATTGCAACTTTGGATTTCCATTTATTTCGGTCTTTACAAAATTCTCTTAATGGAAGAAATTTCAATTCCCTGGAAGACTGTAAAAGGCACCTGGAACAGCTCTTTGCTCAAAAAGGTAAAAAGTTTTGGGAAGATGGAATTATGAAGGTGCCTGAAAAATGGCAGAAGGTAGTGGGACAAGATGGTGAATATGTTGCTCAATAAAGTTCTTGGTGAAATTGAAAAATGTGTCTTTTATTTTTACTCAAAAACCGAAGGTACTGGGACTTCCCTGGTGGTGCAGTGGTTGGGAGTCCGCCTGCCAGTGCAGGGGACATGGGTTCAAGCCCTGGTCCGGGAAGATCCCACATGCCTTGGAGCAACTGGGCCTGTGCTCCACAACTACTGAGCCTGCGCTCTGGAGCCTGCGAGCCACAACTACTGAATCCCGTGCGCCTAGAGCCTGTGCTCTGCAACAAGAGAGGCCACTGCAATGAGAAGCCCACGCACCACAACGAAGACCCAACGCAGCTAAAGATAAATAAATAAACTTATAAAAAACAAAAAACAAAAAAACCCCGAAGGTACTTTTTGGCCAACCCAATACCAATTCTACCATTTATTAGCTATATAATCGTGAGCAAGTTATTCAGCCTCTCTGAGCCTTACTTTCCTCACCTGTAAAATGGACACAGTTATACCTACTTCATAGTGTTAGGACGGTTAAATGAGATCCCAATGAAAAGTGCTTAATGAGAATTGGGGTGAGTATTATTAGCTGTTACAGACCTGTCCCATTTCCCTTGCATCACATTGGGAAGATGTCATTTAACCCAGGACAGGAGACTGAACATGACAAATGCATGTTCAGTTAAGGCTGTCCTAGTTAGTGGTTGACACAAAGAATCACATAGACGGACTAAATTTGTTTGTCCTCAGTTGGGCATTTTGGCCTTTAGTTAACATAAGCTGACTAGCTACTGTGTTGCTTATCACTGAAGGGAAAAACCCGGGGTAGGGAGGAGGCAAGTTGAAAGCCTGACTCCTTGGCAGTGGAACTGGGTGAGGAATTTGCTGAGGACTCCAGTTAAGACCAAATGCCCAGCATCTTGTGACTGTAGGGAGAAGAAAAAGGGATAATTTAAGTCATTTTCTTCTTTATATTCAGAGACATGTTTAATTCATGTTTCTATCTTATGTGGAGGCTTTTCCCTTGAGTGGAGTGGTGGGGGGTGGGCCATGCCACCTTCCTTCCTCTACTCAGCAGCCCCAGGCAGGGCAGACATATTCCTATGAATGTGTGTTGACCAAATTCAGACTCACTTTAGGAGGGGAAACACGCCATTAATCAGCACCAGCCACAGATGTTTGGCCAAGGAGCCCAAACTTACCAGTGTCCTGGGAGGGAGAGTGGGCATGTGATCATGCTCACAACCCTTCAGTGATGCCAGGGTCTTTTTTTTTTTTTTAATACATTCATTTATTTTTGGCTGCATTGGGTCCTCGTTGCTGTTCACGGGCTTTTCTCTAGTTGCGGTGAGCGGGGGCTATTCTTCCTTGCAGTGCGCGGGTTTCTCATTGTGGTGGCTTCTCTTGTGGCAGAGCATGGGCTCCAGGCGCGCAGGCTTCAGTAGCTGCGGCACGCGGGCTTCAGTAGTTGCAGCGTGCAGGTTCAGTAGTTGTGGCTCATGGGCTTAATTGCTCCGCTGCATGTGGGATATTCCTGGGCCAGGGCTTGAACCCATGTCCCCTGCATTGGCAGGTGGATTTTTAACCACTGCGCCACCAGGGAAGTCTGCCAGGGTCTTAGATAAAGTCCAGGGTCCTTGACATGACTGTTAGTTCTTCGTGCCCTGGCCCCTGCCTGCCTTTCCGAAGTCCTCTCTTGCAACTGTCTTTCTGCTCACTGCCCACTTCAGCAAGACAGAGCCACTTTGCATCTTACACTCTCCCTCTCCCCTGTCTTTGAATATGCTGTTCCTTCTGCCTGAAATACTTTCCCTCTCCTTTCCACTGTCTACTTGGCTATCTCCTGACTGTCCAAGGTTTTCTGAGCTGATCTCACAACCCCTGGGTTCTTTCTTGTCACAGCACATCATATAGAAACAGCCCAGTTATGATATCTCTCCAGCTTGAGTGAGGACAGGAGCTTGGTTCCATGTCCGTCTTCCTCAACATTACAACTTGTGTTGGGCACATAGCCCAGTAAGTGTTTGTTGAGTGAGTGTTGGGGCTCAGACCTTGACCTTTGGGGATCCCAGCCTGACCCAGGACTGGCTTACTTTCCTCGGGGAGACCTGCCCAGTGTTTGGTGGGAGTTATGTATCAGGCAGGCAGGGAAGGCAATAGGCCCCCACTCCAAGGAACTGTTCATTGCTTTTTGTTGATGAAGTGTGGTCTGGAGTTCTTGCCAAAATATGCCCGTGAAATGTACTTCCATTCCTTGGTGTACTGGGGCCTCCTTCCTCTCCACATGCCCTGCCCCAACATGGCCATCTTCCTTAAATGCGTCTGGGTCCTGCAGTAAAGGGTACACTTTGTGTGGACCTGAGTATGATTGGGAGGGTCTCCAGAAAGATCAGATTTCAAGGCCCCTACTGCTCCCTCTCCCCCAAAACACTGGCCAGACCACAGCTCCAGACTGCCCTCCTGGGATAGGGTGAAGCAGATACACTTGAGCAGGAATGTCAGGGGAAGAATTTGTGCATTTGGTTCTTGGAAAAGGGAAATGTGTGTAGACCTGGGTTCTTCAGTGGGCAGTATGCTCAGCCATGTAGAGCGCATGTAGGGGCAGTACCTTCCCCACAGGCTGTATAGGCACCAGACATTTCACTTTGTTCTAAGCAGGGGCTGAGTAAGAGAGCCTCTGGGACCCACCCCACCTCCTGTGTGTGGAAGCAAGGAAGCTGACTGCCCAGGTTCAGCCCCAAACCTCGATTTTGTTGGTTCAGCCTCAGTGCAGCACTGAGCACGACGTTGATTTACCAAAGGAGAGGCCCCGTGGGCTTAACACATCCGGGAACACCTTGGAGGCGGTGACTACTGAATTGGAGCTCTTAGGTCTGAGATGGAGGCAGGATGAGTGAATGTGTTTTCAGTCTCCTGGGGTCTCTTTGTAGGTCTATAACTTGACCCAAGAGTTCTTCCGGCACGGTAAACCAGTCAATGCTGAGAGCCAGAACAGCGTGGGGGTGTTCACCCGAGAGGAGGTGCGCAACCGCATTAGGGACGACCCTGACGATCCAGAGGCCACCAAGCGCCTGAAGCTCGCCATGATCCAGCAGTACCTGAAGGTATCTTTGCCATCTCGGAGCTCTGTTGAGTACAAATGCCAGAGTGAGGAAGACTGACCCTGGGGAATCTGGGTCCGAGGAGGGCGGCACTGCCCTAAAGTCCTGCTCCTACCCCTGCCCAGCCTTGGCGGTCACCTGGCTCCCCTCTGGCTCTTCCCACAGGTGGAGAGCTGTGAGAGTAGCTCGCACAGCATGGACGAGGTGTCCCTGAGCGCCTTTGGGGAGTGGACTGAGATTCCCGGTGCCCACCACATCATCCCCTCGGGCTTCATGCGGGTTGTGGAGCTGCTGGCTGAGGGCATCCCGGCCCACATCATCCAGCTGGGGAAACCCGTCCGTTGTGTTCACTGGGACCAGGCCTCGTCCCACCCTTGGGGCCCTGAGATTGAGCCCCGGGGTGAGGGTAGCCATAATCATGACACTGGGGAGGGCAGCCAGGGTGGAGAGGAGCCCCAGGGGGAGGGGCAGGATGAGGATGAGCAGTGGCCGGTGGTGGTGGAGTGCGAGGACTGTGAGGTGATCCCGGCGGACCACGTGATTGTGACCGTGTCGCTGGGCGTGCTCAAGACGCAGCATGCCAGCTTCTTCCGGCCAGGCCTGCCCGCTGAGAAGGTGGCTGCCATCCACCGACTGGGCATCGGCACCACCGACAAGATCTTTCTAGAATTCGAGGAGCCCTTCTGGGGCCCCGAGTGCAACAGCCTACAGTTTGTGTGGGAGGACGAGGCGGAGAGCCACACGCTCACTTACCCACCCGAGCTCTGGTACCGCAAGATCTGTGGCTTTGATGTCCTCTACCCGCCTGAGCGCTACGGCCACGTGCTGAGTGGCTGGATCTGTGGGGAGGAGGCCCTTGTCATGGAGAAGTGTGATGACGAGGCAGTGGCCGAGATCTGCACAGAGATGCTGCGGCAGTTCACAGGTGCGTCCCTGTCCCTGTCCCGCTGCCTGCTCCATGGGCCTCGCTGCGTCTGCCCTCCTCCGCTAGACCCTCTGGGTCTCCTGAACTGTGTGCTAGCATCCTCATCCCTAGGTCGTGACACTGAAGTGGTGTGCCCACTGGGAGAGATGCGGTAGGGCACTGCATCTTGGCCTTGGCCTCCTAAATTGCAGGCTCCCCCCCTGTTTGGAACTTGAGACACTCAAAACCACAGGCTCTGTATTTCTTCTCTGTTTCTAAGGGCTGTTGGTGAAAAACTCAGATTTCACCGCAAAACCTCAGATTGCCGATTTCCTACTCATGTTGTCTTGCTAAGAGATGGATTTGTGGTTTTTTGTGTCTGATTTTTAGTTGAACATCTTTCCTCCACTATCCCAGAAGAGCCTCACAAGAACCCCTGAAATTGGAAGGGGGAACATTATTATCTGGAATGTTTTTCAGATAGGAAAATTAAGGTCCACAGAGAGGAGGTATTTTGCTGGGGGTCACAACGAGGCGTTGAGGGGTACACAGCTTGAACCCCAGCCTCCATCCCTCCCTCCTCCATACTCCGTGTTTATCCGTAGCAGCCTGGCCTTCCTGGAGCCCTAGAGGTAGAGTGGGAGTTGTCTTCTCAGGGGTGTCTTCTGTGTGCAGCCATTTCATATTCTCCCCCGCCTTGGCTCTTCTCACTCCCCAACAGGGAACCCCAACATTCCAAAGCCTCGGCGAATTCTGCGCTCAGCCTGGGGCAGCAACCCCTACTTCCGGGGATCCTATTCATATACACAGGTGGGCTCGAGTGGGGCAGATGTGGAGAAGCTGGCCAAGCCCCTGCCATACACGGAGAGCTCCAAGACAGCGGTGAGTGTGGGTGTGCTGGGTATGTGAGGGAGGGGGTGCAGAGTGAGGGGATCTGTGAGGGGTGCGGTGGGCATTTTGTATGTGTGTTTGGTCCAGGGGAGGAGTGGAAGGGTAGTATTCACTGAGGAGTGCCAAGGTAAGATAGATGGAGTAGCTCCCATAATGAAGGAGAAAACAGACAATGTGCACTCAACATCTGGAAGAACAGAGTCAAATTGAGATGTGTTAAACTCTTTCCTGAGGTTATAAAAACTGAGCCATTTAATGCTATGCTGTCCAATATGGTAGCCATTAGCTTTAAAGTAATAAATCCAACATTTTGTTCGTCAGTTGCACTAGCCACATTTCAAGTTTGAGAGCCACGTGTCACTCATGGTTACAATGTTAGAGTGTGTCATTATAGAGCATTTCTGTCATCGTGGAAAGTTCTTTTGGACAGCACTGACCGAGTATGTTTTGTTTATTTTCCCCAATATGTTTTAGAAAATAAAATTGAGAATACTGACCCTCCCCCAAATTATATCAACTATGTAATAATATACACAGAAAAATAATAAATTGAAAAGAAATTATCTCTATATATTTCTGTTCCCATGAAGTAAATTTTGAGTTTTCCCCACCAAGCACACACATACAATAAATGTTAAAACCCCAACAGAATTATATTTAAAATAATTCTTTGGTGTAATTGGTGAAGAAGATTGTAGTCAACCAATATGTGTTGTGCCTGCCCTGGCTGTGCTCAGGGAGAGAGAGGAAAAGGCCTTCACTGCTGCTACAGCCATCCTCCTGAAAAGCACACCTTTTCTTGTCACCTGCATCAGTTAGGACTAGTGCATATAACAAAAAGCAAAACAAAACAAACTGTGGTTTGAACAAGATGGAACTTTACTTAGGTCACATAAAAGGAAATCCGGAGGTAGGTGTCAGGGCCCAGCATCAGTAGCACCTGGCTCCATCTTCCAGGCCACCTTGTGGTCCAAGAGGTCTGTGGAGGCTGCTGCTCTTGCTCTCATATCTGTGACAGGCTGATGGGTAAAAGAAGGGAACCCCTGGGCTGAGTCAGTGTTTCGAAGCAACAGTGCACTTGAAGTTGATTGGCTAGAACTTAGTCACATGACTCCACTAGCAGCTAGTGGGATACTAGGTTGGGATACATCTTTTTTTTTTTTTTTCCTGGATGGCAATGGACCCAGTTAAAAGACAGGATTTTTGTTACTGAGGAGAAAGAGAATGGATGTGGGAGTAGGGAGCTTGCCCTCTGCCACAATATGTGCCCCCTTTTCAGCTTAACCACCTCTGTGGGCTCTTTGTTGGTGGGTTAAAACCTCACTACTCAAGGTGGGTGGTCCATGGACAAGCAGCACTGGCATCATGTGGGAGCATGTTAGATGTGCAGACTCTCAGCCCACCCCAGACCTGATGAATTAAAAACTGCATCCTACCAAGGTCCCCAGCTGGTACCTTTGCACATTCAGGTTGAGATGTACTGGAGTAAAATCCAAACTCAAGCTTGGAATGCAAGCATTAGTTCTGTGCTTGGACCCCACCTAAACAGCCTCCTTTCTTAAGGTTAAGCCCTGGCTATACCAAAATTCTCACTGTCTCCTAGACCAGGCCTGTTTTGGTGCATTTTTGCCCCCATTTTTCCTTCTTCCTGAAACATCCTTTGCCTGTTTATTTATCCAGCATCTTCCGAGAAGAAGCCCAAAGGTCCTGTCCTCTGGGAAGCTTTGTGTGATCTCCCTGACAGTGGGCCTCTTTCCTGGGCTCTCAGCACCTCGCCCAAACACCCATCACGTCACGTATGACGCCATTTAGTAATTGGGTTTCGTGTCTGGCTTCCCCACCAGCAAGGAAGCTCCTCAAAGCAGCTGCCTGGTCACCTTTTATCTTCCAAGTGCCCAGAACAGTCCCTGGAACCTAATAGAGGCTCCATAAAGGTTTGTTAAATTACTGCCTAACTTTATTGAGTGCTTATATTCTTTCAGGTTCTGAGTCCTTTAGATACATTATTTCACTTAATTCTTACACCCACTCTCAGAAGTAGAGGGTATAAACCCATTTTGGAGATGAGAAAATCAAAGCTTAGGGAGGTTAAATCATTCCCTGAGTTCACTAGTAAGAGGCACAGTGAGTCTCTGAAATTGTAGAGACAGGACTCATGAAAGCCTCAGAGCAGAAAGGACTGAGGCCTGGATGTTTGGGGAAGAAGCAGGGGAAGATGGGGATGGGCAACTCCTCATCCTGTGGAAATAGTACCTGCATCTCAGATGCCTGCTTATTCCTCTCTGACTTGTAGTATGGATGGGTGGTTCTGGGGCAGACAGATAGCCTTTCTTGCTCCTCCACCTTCACTTCCCTGTCCCCCTGCCCAGCCCATGCAGGTGCTGTTCTCAGGTGAGGCCACCCACCGCAAGTACTATTCCACCACCCATGGTGCTCTGCTCTCTGGCCAGCGCGAGGCTGCCCGTCTCATTGAGATGTACCGAGACCTCTTCCAGCAGGGGACCTGAGGGCCTCCTCGCTGCCGAGCGTGTTCCTTAAAGAACCACTAACTTGTGACTTTCAGCCCTGCCCCTTGCTGTTGTGTACTCATTTCCTAATCCTCTGGAGAATGGATTTGTATCTTTTGTAGAGCTAGACATCTAAATGGCTTCAGACCTGGCCCTGTAGCTTTTCCTTTTCTCCTTGCTGGGTGGTGACCAGGGTGGGGTCTGTTGATTTACCTCTGTGCTCTGACCTCTGACCTCCCCATGCCTCCCCTCATCTCCGAACTTGTTATTGTAAGTGCCTTCAATACTCTGCATTTTGGGATAATAAAAGAGGCTTGCCCTTCCTGTGCTCCTCAGCTTCTCTCTTCCGTTTTTCTTAGCCTTGTGTGTTTGTGTGTGTGTGTGTGTGTGTGTGTACGTGTGTGTACGTGTGTGTATGTGTGTGTGTGTTTATCTGTCATATCCTCTTTGAGTGCAGGGATGGTGTGGGTGCTGTGGTCTGGCTATACCCCCAGAAAGGAAGGTGCCTGCCTTTAGTGGAAGGGGCATTCCCTCACCCCAATCTGTTTGTGGTTGTTTCCTTTCCTGCCCGTGAGACCCCTCTGGAGTAAGGGCCCCTCACTGCCCAGCCTCAGCTCCTTCAGGACAGGCCTGGGTCTGCCTGTTGGCCATTTGCCAGACTTCTCAGAGCCTGATCGGGTAACATGGCCACATGGAGTGAAGGTGAGTTTTATGGGAGGGGACACCTGTTGTGGCTCCATGCCAAGCTCAGATGTGTTAATTATTAATCAGTGTCACCTGGCCACAGGGCCCTGGGTCTGGCCCTTGGCTTAGCTTCTGTTGACTTCTGGGAAGGTGGATAGTCCAGCCATTTTTTTGCTGAGTGAAAATGCAGACACTCACACATACACCCCTTATATACCCACACACACATACATCACTCCCACACAGATACACTACCCCACACCCTTACACCTATACGCAACTACACTTACACACATGCATAAAACCTTAAAGAACATTTAGTCATTTTCTTACTCCAGATTTCTAGTGACAGAGTTTGAATTCTATAGGGTGGAGGGGTTGGGTGGTGGAGGAAGTGATGAAAAGTCAGGTGCACCCCCTGGTCTAACTCTGTATGAACTTAGGTTGGGTCCACTCTTCAGAAGTATAGGGCAGTGCCCTTGATATGACTCTACATCCTTTCCCCCTTCACCTCAGGCTGTGATGGACATGTCTAACACATAGATATTCCTCTGCACGCCTCCCTGCACCTGCCTGCACATCCCTACATGCACACCCTCCTACATGCATATACACCCCTACACACACACCTACATGGACATATCTAATAGGCATCCTTGCTTTGCCAGGGTTGACCCACCAGACATCCCTCATGGAGTTTATGTCAGGGATTCATGTTCACCTGATGCATAACTTGAAAAACTGTAAGTATATATTTAAAAAAATTTTTTGAATAGAGGATCTATCAATGTAGTTAAAGCTCTAAAGTCATAAAAGGATACACTGAACAACCTCCTCCCACGCCTGTCCCTAATACCATTGCCACTTCCAATGGCCCCATGTTATCAGTATCTTGTGTATCCGTTTTTAGATATGTCACTGTAAATGTATACTGTTCTCTCTCCTTTTTATGCTAAAGTGACAAAGTATTCATCCTGTTCTGCATTTTGCTTGTTTTAGTTAGCATATCTTGGAGCTATTTCCATAACAATACTTAAATGGACAAGTGATCCAGTCTTGGACCCTCCCCATGTCCTGGATTTTCCCCACCAACTGTGCTAGGGAAAGTGGTGACAGAAGTGGCCCATCACATAAGTATGGGGGATGAAAGTAATACTTAGAGTCTCTGGATCACAGGTGTAGGAATTTTGAAGAACTCTGTGAGGGTGAAGGGCTGGAAATGTTTATTTGGTGATTGCATGTTAGGGAGCTTCAGGTGTGCCCAAGTCAGGAGGGTAGTCGTAAGTGCTGGAGGTAGAGCCTCTTAATTTGACATGGATGCCAGCTCAGGCTGGGGAGGGTGATTCTTCCCATCAGGGAAGCAAAACCTCCAGAGAGTTAAGTAATGCAAGTAGTGCGCCTAAGATCACTCAGGTAGGTGGTGATGCTGAGACTTGATCCAAGGTCTGTTTGGTGCCAAGTGCAGGCTTATTCTAGTTATTATGTGATAAAAAGAAGAGGCTGGTGCCATCGAAAAAAAATCTTAGGCCATTACCAGACAGAGTGGAACTGGGTACAGCCACACTGGGAGACTGTGGTGGCAGATTCTACTAAAGCAGGCCATGTGCCTGCCAGCATTTCCACTCCTGGGTATATACCGAAGAGAAATGAGTGCATATGCCCACCAGAAATATGTACCAGAGACTGGATGTACCAGGGACACAGGATGAGTTCCTTGCTGTGATTAGGTTCCTGAAACAGCCGTGGCATTGATTGAAACTCAAATGACTCTTAGTGGTGTCTAATATGGCATGCTCAGGCCAACACCTGTGCCTATGCTGGCTATACAATTTCTGTCACCTGTGGGAGGTCACGTGAGAGGAAAGGTCTTTCCTGGCACTGGATTCTTTGTAGAATTTGTTGCATGGTTTCTTGTGCTGTGGGCATTAGTGAATCCATGGGCAAGGTGTTCAGTTATGGCTTTGTGGAAGCCTCAGAAATGTTCCTTCAGGGGGCCTGGGTTACTTGGCAAATACTGTCTCTTTCCAGTGTTGCTGCTCTGGAACAGGTGAGGAATATTAGCTCCCCCTTCATGGGAGCCACTTGGAATGTCTGCCCTACCTACAAACAAAGGTAGGAGTGAAGTGCCTTTGGTTTGAGTCACTCTGCATTTGCTCGGGGCTGTCAGGATGAGCCCACAGGTGATCCCAAGGTGCAGAGGGAGGTGGGCTGCTGGTTCAGTTCTAGAGAACTGCCTGTCTAATTAATGGTCTGCCAAACATAATGGTATATTCACATGAAAGCCGTGTTTTCTCATAATGACCAGCTGGTGTCCCTTCTTCCATGCTTGGCCCTTTTAGCCTGTTCTCCACACAGCAGCCAGTGTGATCCTTTAAACTATATGAATCCAGTTATGTGCTTCCCTGGTTTCCAGTGATTCCCATCATACTGAGCATAAAAGGCGATTTCCAATGTCCTGTGTGATCTGTTCTGTGGCCCCCACTTCCTTCCGTGGCCCCCTTCTTTTGGCCCTAGCTGTCCCCTTTATCTGGAATGCTTGCCCCCAGGTAGTGCAAGTCTCTTTCCCTCACTGCATTCAGTTTTCTAATCAGCTATCACTTCTCTAGGAAAACTTCCCTAAGCACCCCGTTTCACAGCACTCCCAGCACTCTTCGTCCCTCCCCTTGCCTGTTTCTTCATAGCCCTTCTCTTTCCATGATGTCATATTTTTTTTGTTTATTTATTTGTCCATCTGTCCCCCCCACCCCTTCCCCAGGATATAGGTTACATTATCCAAAATAGTGCCTGGTATAGTGGGTTATCAATGAATATTTGCAGAATGAATGAACAAGTGAATGAAGAAGCTGAGCTGAATGGCGTCATCCCCCAGACCCACCATTGGTGCTGGCCAGCAGTCCTCGTGGGCTTCCCTTGTCAGCTCCCCTTCAACTCTGACACCTCCCCTCCCCCACCAGCTGTCAATAGGCACCATGGTCTCCTGCTTCACGGACAAAATAGAAGCCACCTGGAGGCAACTTCCTCGACAAATCTACAAACTGCTAGCCTTCACACCTGTCCTTTTAGACCAGGGGTCCCCAACCCCTGGGCCAAGGACCGGTACGGTCCGCGGCCTGTTAGGAACCGGGCTGCATAGCAGGAGGTGAGCGAAGCTTCGTCTGCCGCTCCCCATCGCTCCCCATTGTTTGCATTACCGCCTGAACCATCCCGCCCGCTCCCCCGGTTTGTGGAAAAATTGTCTTCCACGAAACCGGTCCATGGTGCCAAAAATGTTGGGGACTGCTCTTTTAGACCTTTCCCAGGCACGATGGAAGTGTGTGACCCATCCCATGCCCCAAACTCAGGGACTTTGCTTGTCCTTTCCTATCTGCATTCTCTCCACTCCATGCTTGCCACCCACACTTCAGTGTCCTCACATCTTTCCCATCACCAACCCTCATCTTACTCCCACTTTTCCTTGCCTCTCTTTCGGCCAAGCATCACGTTAGCATTTCCTACACTTGCTCTCTCTGCATCCTTACTATCCTTACCCTAGCAGTGGTTGGTGGGGGTCCTCAGGCCGCAGAGGGAGACACAGGAAGGACTGGGCTGGCTCTCCTTTTCATGGCTGGGAGAGGTGAGGAGGACCTCTAGGTCTGCGGAAGCACAACCTCATGGGCTGAACCACATCCTTTGGCGCCACCTGCTGGCCATTTTGGAATGCAACCCTCTTGCTGCACAGGGAACATTTGTGTCCTGGATTCTGTGAGCTTTTCTGAATAAAAAAAAAAAAAAATTCAATGAATCATAGAAAGTACCTTTAATTAATGCTGAATGAGTTAATAAAGTAAGATTTCCCCCCCCAATATTGGCCCCCAAGATATTTTCTTTTTTATTCATTCGTTCATTCACTATTTTGTTCATCCAGCAGACTTTTGTGTGCCAGCTTCTGTGCTAGAAATGTTTAATTATGCTTCAGTAAATAAGTTTATTAAGTAAATAAATAAGAAGTATGAACTTATTTTATTCCCCAACTGAATCTGGACTGTATGATTTCAATTCTTTTAAGTTTGTTGAGGTTTGTTTTATAGCCCAGGATATGGTCTATCTTGGTGTATGATCTATGGTGCTTGCAAAGGATGTGTAGTGTGCTGTTGTTGGGTGGAGTGTTCTACAGATGTTGATCAGATCCTGCTGGCTGACAGTGTTGTTGATTTCCTCTATATCCTTGCTGATTTTCTGTCTAGTTCTATTGATTGTTGAGAGAATAGTTGAAGTGTCCAATTATAATTGTGTATTTCTTTATCCTTTCAACTCTATCAGTTTTTTTGTATTAATAGACTTTTTTAAGAACAGTTTTAGATGTACAGAAAAAGTGAGTATATAGACCCTACCTCCATTTTCCCTATTATTAACATTTTACAGGACTTCCCTGGTTGTCCAGTGGCTAAGACTCCACGCTCCCAATCCGGGGGTCCCGGGTTCGATCCCTGGTCAGGGAACTAGATCCCACATACTGCAACTAAGAGTTTGCATGCTGCAACTAAAGACCCTGCATGCCACAAGTGAAGACCCCACATACCGCAACTGAAGATTCTGCATGCCGCAACTAAAAGATCCCACATGCCGCAACTAAAACAGATCTCACATGCTGCAACTAAAAGATCCTGCATGCCTCAACTAAAGATCCCACGTACTGCACCTAAAAGATCCTGCATGCTGCAACTAAAAGACCCCACATGCCGCAACTAAAAAAGATCTCGCATGCTGCAACTAAAAGATCCCCATGCTGCAACTGAAAAAGATCTTGCATGCTGCAACTAAAAGATCCTGCATGCTGCAATGAAGATCCCATGTGCTGCAGCTAGGACCTGGTGCAGCCAAATAAATAAATAAATAGATAGATAGATAGATAAAATATTTAAAAAAATCCAACTACAGAAAAAAATCTTACATTAATATGATGCATTTGTTATAATCAATCAACCAATATTGGTATATTATTACTAAATAAAGTCCACAGGTTAAATGAATAAACTAATGTCTTTTTCTGTTCCAGAATTCTATCCAGGATGCCACATTACATTTAGCCATCATGTTTCATTAAGTTCCTCTTGGTTGTGATGTTTTCTCAGACGCTCCTTGTCTTTGATGATCTTAACAGTTTTGAGGAGTATAGTCAGGCATATTGTAGGATGGACCTCTATTAGAATTTGTCTGATGTTTTTCTCATGACTAGACTGGGGTTATAGGTTTCTGGAGGAAAACCACAGAGTTAAAAGTGCCATTTTCATCTCATCACATGACCTTTATCACTTTGCTGAGATAGACTTTGTCAGGTTTCTGTACTGTAAAGTTATCTCCACCCCTACCCCCCCCACCACCCACCTCCCACCCTGCACCATCGTACTGTCCTCTTTGGAGGGAAGTCGCTTTGCAGCCCACACTTAAGGAGTTATACTCCCCTCCTTTAGAGTAGAGTATCTACATAATTTATTTGGAATTCTTCTACGTATGAAAATTGTCCCTTCTCTTCCCTTACCTCTCTCTATTTATTAACTTATTCAATCATTTATTTATATCAGAATGGACTCATGGATATTTATTTTATACTTTGGATTATAATCTAATACTACTTTATACTGTTGTTAAATTGTTCCCACT